CCAGCCATAAAAGTAAAAATTGTTTGTCAGAGTGCAATTCTATTTGATTGATGCAAAACTCTCGGACAAAATGCAGCAAAAGTGATAAAATCGTTTTGAAAATGTTGACGTCCTTGGCAGCATTTGGCGCCAATTGTCAGTCGCTCAGCAACTGCAACTGGAGAATGCTATAAAGTCAACCGAAGTTGAGAAAAACTATAACATTTTATCATCGAAATCAAGGGATTGAAGAGGGGCAAGGAAGGGAAGGGCAGCAGAACATAGCGAAGCATCCGCCACGACCCACATTTGCAACCCACACAATGACTGTAAGCATTTTATGTCGTATCTGTGTATCTGTATCTGTATCTGAGGCTGCCGTTCATTGTGGCCTGTATCTGTGGGTCCGTTGGTATTTGTATCTGTGCGAAGCAGTTGCAACAAAGATCCGAACTAAACTCAAATAACAACATGTTCAGGTTTCGTATTTTTCTGCTGCCCCATTCACAGGGAGATAGCGAAGAGGAGGAGAGCACAGCCCACCCTCTCGCTTGCTCCACATGGCGCAATTTTCAGGTCAAGGTCAGGCTTGCTGTTGTGCATCTGTGTGTATGTATGTGGCAGAAACGGTTTTGTTATATTTATTTTTTTGTTCTTAAAGCAAGTAATGCGCTTTTCGAAAGTTGACGAGTCCTTCGCCCAATCCTTGTCCGTACTTTTTTTTTGTTTCGTTTTTTTCATAGCTCAATGACGCGAACAAACACACACACAGTTGAGGGGACCCCCTCACAGATAATTTGCATAATCCCATTTACACTGCGTGAGTTGCACTTAAATCCGCATAAAGAATCAAGAATCTGGAAAAACGGAGGATAGTTGGAAGGTAATTACGACTGCTGACATCGTTCTATGATGTGTATTGATTGTACGCCTAAATGATTTTCATTGATAGAGCGCGTAATTCAGAGATATATTTTTTAATTTATCGGCACTACTATGCATTATTCGTTTAAAAAATGCACTGTAACTAATATATTACAGGCATAATATAAATTTCACATTAAAATATATATAGTCTTCTTTAATTTTAATAAAGATTTAAAGCGAAAATATAAACATGTCAAGTCTTTCAATAGTGGTAGAAAATTTTAATTATTGTAGTTTTAATGTTCTGTTAGCTGGCATAGAATAAAATAGAATAGAGAGAATATACTTTAATTCACCTAGAAACTTTTTGGTCCTCTTGGCCCAGCACGTGCCTCAGTCAAACAAATAAATCCTTGCCCAGCATTCATTCACCCATTGTGTTGACTGCCTCTGAAATTATGCCCTTATAATGGGACCTCAAGCATTAGACTTGTCGTATATTTAAATACAGAGATGTTATTTTTTTCGCGCTGTGTTCTGTTGTGTTGGGTTCCATTATGAAAAGGTTTTTCAAGGCGAAATGGTTTTTGTGTTCTTTCATGCTGGGCGCCGTGTGTCAGCTTCAATTGAGTGGGATGTGAATGTGAATGGGTACGTGAATGAGTTTCTTCTTTGGCAGAGCAACTCAAGGTTTTCCACCGACTCTTTGGATGAAAATACTTGGCATGCTTATGCCCCAAACCCCAACCTTCCTTCCGAGTGCTTAGAAGTGTGGACCCTTGACAGAAAAAACCACTTGGACTGCCTCTTTGGTACGTGACTGGTTGACTGGATGTTTGGGCAGCGGGAAGTCAAAGTCAGGGTCGAGTAACATCATCGTTAGGGCCTCAGCACATATGATACTCGTAACATGCAAAATATATAAATAATTCTGTCGTCGAGCACCTTCTAACCTTGGTTGTTTGTTTTTCGGTTTGGATGATTAAAAATGCTAATTAATGTGTGTAACACGTCAATTTTAGTCACATATTTTGGGGACTGTTTGTAATGGTTCTCTGGGGTGGCATATTTCGTCCCCCATTTTTGCTGAACCGTCTCTACTTTTTGCTTAAAGCATCTTAAACAAGTTGTTGGACAGTTGTTTTCGCACAAGTGCCTCCAGTCGGAGCTGTCATATTTCTAGCCGTGCTGTCAACTAGCTGTCAACAGGCGCCATTTGTTGCACACACAATAGCTGAGAGGAGTTGGAAAACATACGAAACCGTCGACCCAGTGTCTGACTAACTTTTTGCTTCAGAGACATATTACATTTTTGTACCACTCGACAGGCGGTCGCAAAAACCAAAAATTATGTAGAAAAAAAAATTGGTTTGGTTCTATGTCCCTATCTTAGTGAAAAATGAACTCTCTAAGAACTACTTTCTAATATGTTTTAACAAAAGCACGGAGTTCCAGTAACTAAATACAATGCAGATTATAGCTTTTGTTTAAACTTGAGGGACATGATTTGAATACAACTTAATTGAGCGTAAAAAAAAACACATTTTTTTTACCTATTTGGAGCTTAAGTTATACAGGCGACCAAAATATTGTTAAAAATCATCAAAGAATTTAAAAATGAATTTGGATGCAAATGAGTAAGAAAACGCCTCTTAAAAATCAATTTTGTTGTCTAATTTTAAGACTCTGACTGACGCACTACACAAATTACCTGTAACTTCATGATAGTGTCATATAATAAAAATAATAAATAATAACATATATTTAATAGTAGAAAATATGGGGTAACTCAATTGTTTCTGTTAGTGCATCTCGCATGCTCTCTCATCCGCTTCACGTTTGTTACGTAAGCGTTGCTCATCTCCCATATGTCGGAGTGTGCATTTGTGCAAGGCATGCAACGATATGTGGCATGTCAGAGCACTGTGAATGTTAATTAAATACTTTACTGTACGCTGAAACTTCGCTTTTAATGATGACACATGAAACACCCACACTATCACCACAACACCACAGCGCTCGATAAATTGCAGCTGAAACAGAAATTTATGGAAATTGGCAAAGTTTCAAATGAAAGCAAAACAAAATTTGCCAATTGCTTTTGTGATTTGAGTTTAGTGTTTGTTTTGGTTTGAATAATTTTTGTATAACTATTGCAAAAGCTTTAGATTTTCTTTTTTCGCTTATGGTAAATTTGAGTATTTATATCTAAATTTAATGGTAGAATTTCAGAGAAACCTGTAACAGTTTAAAAGATTTCAATATAACTTTGTTTTACAGCAAAGATGCTTAAAAATATTTTATGATTTGATACAGTAAAGTACACACTTTTTAAATACCCAACACAAAAAGAATTGGATTTTATGAATTTAAGTAGTCAGCTTTAAAGGCTTTGCAATGGATATATGAAATGTTTGGCTTGCCAAATTTAAGAATTTTATATTTTAACTTTATGATTAATTTAGTTTTAATTAAATACGAATTTGGCTGAAATAGTGCGATACCAAAACGCACAACTAACTTTTGTTAAACAAAAACAATAATTGCTAAAACGACAAATCGACAACAACTGCATGAGCATAAGTGTTGCAAGAATGGCGGCAACAGTAACAACAAAATGGCTGCGTTAGCCAACAAAGTGGCTGCCAATATGGCGACTACCAGCAGCAACAACATCGGCAGCAGCGAACAAACGCTGCAGCAACAACAAATGCACCACCAACAACAACAACAGCAGCAACAACAAAACACCAATTTAATGCCAGCTGCGGTCATACAGCCCGAATATTTACTCAATAATGATCGCGGTTTATTTAAGGTTTATTGTTTTATCAAAGATTTCATCGGGTAAGTAAACAAAAAACGGACACATATCGACGAGTATGGAATTTAATAAATAAAAGTAATATTAATTTTATTCTGCTACAAAACTTATAAGATATAGTTTAAATTAAAAAAAAGTTGTCATTAAGCAAACAATACTTTACGTTGAAGTTTAATAGTTAAGCGAAGGTTTTTTAATTTAATATCGAAAGTAAGACGTTTTTAATAAGCATGTAACAGCAACTTTGTTTCTGTGACCTTGCCTAATAGTTTTTGTTTAACTAAGCTGAAAGTTAAAGTTCATTTTACAAAAGAACTATGCATGTTGCATAAATGCGTTGAAAAACCAAAATTGTAGTGTATTACATAAGCAAGTAGAGAAAAGGAAGTAATAAATATATTTATACACAATTATATGGGCAGAAACATTTTAAATCCCGTTATTAAAATACGAAAACTGAAAAATAATAATAGATTTTAAAAGTATTTTTATTTTCAGCTTTTAACGAAAAAAATTAAAATAGAATTTAATAATGATAAATATTATTTCACGATCAGTTTCTTTAAAGATTAGCTTTCTATGTTTCGAGGTAAATTGAAACAAATTAACACCATTTCTATATTTGTTAAAGAAACTTATGTTACCAACATTTAAGTTTAATTTTCAAATTGGTGCCAATTATGATTAACACCTGAATGTTGGGAGTTCATAATTTATTTTTTTATCATTTCCGTAATTTCTTATATTTGAAGAGCACCCTGTGCCAGAATTTTTGTTTGAGTTTTTTTTTTTTTTTTTTTGCCCGGCGCTTATCGTTTTTCATGACACTCACACTTGTGTGTTTGTGCCTTTATGTGTGTATGTTTGTGCCTTTATTTGTTCGTATAATTCATATTTAATCAACTGATAATATAAGAAAACTGTTCAACCTGCTTTTGTGCTGACTGTCTGTGCTCCAATTTCTGTGCTCCTGATACACTTGCTGACATTATCACCTGCCCTGGCACCGTGAATAATACGGCAGCGACTCTACGGTTATTTGATAACAACCAGCTTGATATTTCCCAAGGCGGCGAGAGAGTAGCAGAATGAACTTTTGTTATCACAACAAATATAAGAAGACATAATAGCACAAACGATAGAGTCTAGTCTAAAGGGAGATGGTTTTTATTGCTCTAATTTCTTTTCTAGTTTAAGACTGATATCTTTAACATGATTGCAGTTATTCTGCCCACAATTAACCTTTGTTATTATCTGGGAATTTTAAAAAAATTTTTTTTTTTTTGAAAAAGTTTGAACTTTGATCAACTTTTTCAACACAAGTCAGCACAGAAATAACAATTTGAGTGCTAGTGGAATTGAATTTAGAACTTAAAAATTCCAAATACGAAAATTTTGTGAACAACCGCATTGATAAACAAATTCAGTATTCTGCTTAGTACCATTTCGACCAAATCAAAATACCAGTATCGGAACATGGATGAGGTGTTGGGACACTTGGGCTGCATGGTCAGCATTGTGTTGACCTTATGTGTGGCTGTCTTGGGATATTTTCACTATCACCTGAGAAATGGCGGAGGCAATCGAATAGATGCAAACAAGTTGTTTGCGCCCAATCTGCCGGATTTGCCGCCAATCAAACTGACCTTAGCTCAGTTACTGGGATTTGATGGGACACGGAGTGATGGGAGGATACTGGTGGCGCTGAAGGGAAAGATCTACGACGTCTCCAACGATCTGCCAGAGTTCGGTTTGGATGGTACCCTATCTCATGTAGCTGGCAGGGATTTTACCCATTATCTTAACATGATAATGAACTTGCACGATACCAAGATCAACTATGTGCATCGTTGGGAAGCCATTCTGGAGACAAATTATTCTCGTGTCGGAATCTTAATCGATGAGCTTGGCAATCCCCTTTTTCAGACCACGAATAATGTGGGGGTTGAGAGTTCAGGAAATGCTGAAGAAGTGCGGGAGGATCAGGATGATGTTGTGGAAGCAGTTAAAATCACTGAAACTAATTCAGAAACTAAGATTTCAAATGGTATGCCGAAAAAGACATTGAGTGAGGTTCTTACAGCGGAAACCTCGTCATCGGATACAGTACCTCAAAAATCTTTTATGGATGCAAATTTAGATAGCATGGTTATTAAGGAAAATCTCTGATCATTGATAAAAATTAAAATTGAGATCCAGCTTTGGATGTTTAATATTTGTTTATTTTTGGTACAACTTTCAAATAAATTTAGTGGTCTTTAAAAAATTCTGTTTTACTTTTTTTTTTTTTAAACTCTTTAATTGTTAAGAATATTTGATTCTAAAGATTTCCGGGGCACCTAAGATTTTTATATATTTAAATGTGCATGTTATTCCTTTCAGACAGATGAGCACTTTTCAAAAACAATCTTCGTCAGAATATGCGTTCTCATATAAATCAAATTAAATGAAACAAGCTAGCCTATTGGCTAAAAATATATAAAAATAAATAGATATTCTTCATAATTTCTCAATAATCAAATTGTCACATTAAGTTTATTGTTCATTTGTCCTACATTTGTATTCATTTAATTTCCTAGAAATCTGTTATATGCTTTGGGGGGACCAATGAACCAGCCTTCCCAAAACCACTTCACCTTTTTTCCTCTGGTATTTGGCAATTAGTGCCAAAATAGGCAGAGTGTTTCAATTAGAAGGAAAAACCTATTCAATCTTTGACTCATCCTCGGGCTGTCCACCTGCCAACAGACTGACAAAAGAATATTCCGAGTCGGGAAAGGGCGAAAGAATTGCATACCCAATTTTTAGCCATCAACACCCACTCGCATGGTGGCACACATCGCGCAGCTATGGCCAAAATTGGCTAACCGGGAAAATTGATTCTATTTTATTTTTTTCATTTCGTTGGTGGTCGGGGCTGTTGGCCAACAAATTACACTCGTGTGACGTCTTTTGGCAGGAAGCTCTTTAAGATTGCTTGAATTTATTTTTACAAATTCTCATGCACTCAATTTGTTGCCATACCTGATTACGACAATTAATTAAACAAACTTTTTTTCTGCTCTTGCTTTATTTTATTTTCATCTTCATTGTCGCCTTTTGCGTCGTTTTCAAATTGACAGCGCTTCCAATCTGTTAGGAATTAATTATTTGCCTAGGCATAAATACTTGAAATTGATTGGAATTGGATCACAGTTAATTAATTGATATTTATTTTTGAATTTTCTTTTCAGGTAAGTGTTTCCATTTCAACTCACCACAAAAGACAGTAAGTTAAACAGAGTGGGCTAATTGAAACAGAGGGATAATTAAGCAAAAGAACGTGTGCCGATTAATAATTCAGATAGGGTTCGAAACTTGTTCACTGTTAATAAAGGAAGTTTAATAGCCGTTTAACAATAAGGGACTAGAATTTATAAAGCAGTTATGATTGACGCATTACCCGTAATTAAAGTTTAATGAAATACAGTCTCGGTATTGCTTTAAATTTAAATTTAAATTTATTAGGAAAGTTCAAACTTTACTTTTCAACCCAGAGTTTTTATATTGAAGATTTAATATGGTTTCAGACTTAAAGTCTGCCATGCCAACGGTAGTTGCGCTTAAAATATTGGCTTTAAAATCTAAAACAAAAATCAAGTATTAACATTGAGCTGCCTTAAATTCTATAAAAACAGAGACGAAGTTAGAAGAACATGACTGCAATACCAAGTCAGCCGCACCAGAAAATTGGATTACCCATAATAAAATAAAAATATATTTCAAATATATTTATTGCTAACCAAGACTGAGTTCGGTATTTACTGAAAACATATTTGTATTAAATTTCTTTTAAACAACAAATACGGAAAGCATATTTTGAGCTTTGATTAAAGCATTATCTTCCTTTTAAAATCTTTACAATAAATTATTGCGAACAATATTCGGAAGGAACTCCTGTATCCGACATCATGTCATATCATCCAACGCTGACAAATAGTCTAAATATAGCAAATGACTAAACAATACCTAACATACCTGGCTTATCACCCGACCATATAGATTAGTAGCATGGAGATAAGACTCGAGTTCCTTGATGAGAACGTTCAACTGACAGCTGTCCAGTCCCGATGACTTTCCTCAACCAACCAATTGCAATTAAACGCCAATTAGACATGTGTACGACTGTTTACACCATATGTATATACAGATGCATATAAAGAGATATAGATAGGTGGTGGAGGAAAGCAGCGCAAAAATATACCAAGCATAAATTCGCCTTAGCTGCAAACTATTTTTGCCGCTTTTAACATTTGCCCAACTCTAATGAGCCAATAAATTCACATTACGTATACGCGCAGGTGGCCAGCTTCTGTAATTTTCTTAAATCAGAAAGCAAAACTGAATCGTTTGCATTTTCCTTCGCTTCGCTTTTCCCTGGCTTTTCTTTCACTCAGGCGCGGCCTGTTGTTGGCTATAAATTTCACGCTAACTCGACACTTGTCGCAATCTTTTTCCTCTAATTTTCTTGTTTTTCCCTGCAATTTACCTTACGTCTTATGAAATCCAATTTCCCCCGCTACTCATAATTTTCCATTAAATCGGCTTTCAGTCAGATGGTCATATAGAACATTCGATAAGTCGTAGGAACATGGGTCCAAATCTTTTCTTTATGCTTTGATTTTTCGCATTTTCACATTTATTTGACTAGAGTTAGTTGAGTGGCTTAAAATAAAAGACTTTCCCTGCTATAGTTTGTTTTATGTGACGTCAGCGAAGTTTTGATATTGTTTCCGTTGGGGTTGTGTAATTAGAATTGTTGTATAAAATTAATTTATTTTTTTTTGTTAGCCAATGAAAACTTAACAGTATCTGGTGATCATTAATAATAAGAATGGTGATAATTTATTATTGCGGTTACTTCAATGCAAAGTTCTATAAGCTTTTCCTTTCTTTTTACTAAACCTGTCATTAATTGATTTTGTTCTTTTCTTTCTTATCAGTCTCATTTACATAGTGGCTTTATTCTTAAGACCAACCCATACTTAAATGAATTGATACCTTTTAAGACCCATTTATTGACTGGAAGATAATGTGTCCATCAAGATAAAGGCTGTTCAAGGCCAACGGATGTTTAAGCAAAAAAAAAACTATTTTCAGTATATCATCTCTTGTTAGAGAATTTAAAACATTAATATAGTTTTAATCTATAAAAGTATTGTGTTTAAAAAACAATTTTAAAACTCAAAACATTTCTAACGGATGCCTTTGTTATACCTTTACAAACCAATAATTTGTGATGATTGCCTTTCAATCAGCTTCCATTGCGTTTATTTACGTCCAATCCCCTTAAAAAAAGTGACACCCAGAGCTGTGCCCACTGTTTCTTTATTTTCTTTTACCTTTTTTTCCACCTATCACTCAATGCTAATTATCAGACTGCGATTAGATAAACTTCTTATGATAAGAGAAACACGACGGTTTTTCGATGTAATCTACTCAGTTTTTTTGCTTCCACCCTTTCGTTTTATATTTTTTGTACTTCTTTTCTTGTTATCGTTCATCGGCGTCGGTGCTTTGCTCCAAAAAACAATACAATAAAACAAAAAATAGCTTCGGCACCGGTCGTGTGTGTAAATTTTGTTTCTCGCCTATTTTTTTTCGTCGCTTTCGTCGCCGTCGTCTTCCCAAACTAAAGAGCGGAGAAACGCAGAAAAAAATGTATTTTTGAAAATAATTTTATTGCTGCCGACGAGCGCAGCCACCGCTGTCGACGTCGCTGCTTTTGGTTTTTGTGTTCCGATAGTCGTTTTTGGATTTTGTTTAAAATTCAGTTTTTGGTTCGAAATCAGTAAACAAAAACTTGTCGCCGGCGTGAGACGCAAAACGCGAACCAAAGCTGTTCCAACTAAAAGTTACAAACGAAAATCCCAAAAAGTCAAGACCAAAAAGTAATTGTTTAAACAATTTGCTATAATTTAAGTAGCAGCTCTCCATCTGTCCGTCTGTCGCTATTTGTATCTTACGAATACGCGTCGAGTGATGACGTGCGTTAATTATTGCTGTTCTTTTTTCGCTCGCGATGTCGATGCTGATTTCGATGTCGATGTCGATGTCTCGGTACCCTGACCTTGTTAGTGACTGATTGTGAATTCTTTGCTTATTTATCTTCGGATCCGCTTTGACCCTCTATATACTTACAGTTGAGATACGAGTCTATCTATGTACTCGGCGATCGCACGCACAATTTTTCTAAATCGAATTTGTCTAAAAATAAGCCGCAAGCGAAAACAAAATGAGGGAAAAACGCAAAAACAAATTGTGGAATACATTTTGGGTGGTTCAAAAGTTTTGCCTTACAAACAGTTTTCTTGGTGGGAGATCGTTCATTTTGATTTCACAATCTTATGGAGCCACAAATGGTCCGGAATTAAATACACATTTTAATACAAAGGAGTGAAGTGCTTAAACATCAATAATTGTGCATGTGCATAGTGTATAAAATTTAGAATTCACGAATTGAAGCTATTTAATAGCTTCGACAAATTAATTTAAAGATTTTTAAGCAATGACCTTTGTTAATAGTTCTTAAACTATCAGTCATTTAGTTTTAGATCTTAAACGTTTGTTAGTTCCAGCATTTTATAATGGTTTTTTTTTTCATCCAATAACTAACATTTAATTATATGGAACAAGCAGCTATTCTTACGTTTCATATGGGTCTATAAAAAAGATAAATATAAAATATAATTTCAGAAAAACACCAAAAGTGTATAGTAAGAACAATAAAATCAAATGTCCCTAAATTCCAACACAGTATTTTTAAAATACTCAGCAGTATCACGTTTTGACACTTTGTACACAAATTCTTTCTGGATGTCAAGCTCCGCTAGGCAAACATTAAAATTGTCTGCAATTTGAACTTTGTATCTCCTGAATGTTTGTGCGGCTGCTGTGCGTTTCTTAATAGTTAATTTTAATTGGTTAATATTTATTTTTAGTCAAGACTTGATTAATTGCTACCCGAGAGGAGTTCTCTCAGTGCTCCGTTCGGGGAATTCTCCACCAGCTCGCTCGTTCCCTCATATTAGTTTTTGCTATTTGGCACGCGCAACCAGTTCCAGACTGCGCTTAACAATTTATCAGAGAGAAGTGCAAAAACAAAAATAACAAAAACGGCGACAGCAACAATGTATGCAAAATATATAAATAAAATTATAAATACAATTGGCCAAC